GTCCTGGAACACACTCTAGGACCCTTTGGAGGCTCACCCTGCCCCCCACCAGGCTAGAGGGGGCGAAACTGCCAACTTCTGGGGCTCTTCTGAAGCTTTCCAAGCCTCAAAAGAGCCCCAAAGGTGGTGATTTTGCCCCCTCTGGCCTTCAGGGGGGGGGCTGGGTGAGCCTCCAAATGGTCCTAGGTTGTGTTCCATAAGACGGACCTCTCCATAAGGCTCACCAATTTTTAGGAGAAGAAAACAGATTTTTTTCCTGTTTTCTTCTCCTAAAAATTTGGTGCGTCTTATGGAGAGGTGCGTCTTATGGAGCGAAAAATAAACTACAAGTGAAGCAAAAACCAGGAGAAGAGTATTAATGCTTGGGAGCATTAAAACACACACAGCTTTGTACAATTTTTAAGTTACAGTTCCTCAGATTTATTCCTATAGCAAAGCAGCCATGTGCTTTCTATTGTATTATCAATGATTAAGACTAAAGTGTAATTACATATAATACTAAGGTCTGCTAACCATTACAGAAATTCCCCTTGTTCTCTCCTGAGAAACAAGTAGTGAACATTAAATTTGAATTTTTAGAATTTTACAAGCAATATTTTATGTAGACAGTGTGTACGTACTGTACTTGGGAAGTTAAACATAGCACATAGGGAGAAAATGAACCTGGTTCTTAAAGGGTGCCTTAACATTTAAAGTGTATTGTTGGTCCAAGTTAAAAAAATTACTGGAAAACAATATAAGGGAGACTTATTTTGCAACCTATCTACAGGTATGACAGGATCTCCTGTGGGTCACAAAAGACATGAGAACAGAAGAATTTAGCACATCACTTTTGAGGGCCATGAGCCCATACTGCTTTACTTTCTAAAAGAATCTCTCCTTCGGAAGTTATCATTGTACCGTTAGAATCCTCTTACATTATTAGAGATGGGGGCATTTGTATATGAATATTGCCCCACAGTTGCAGATAACAAAGGTGCGGCCCACCGGGGGCAAGACCAACCACTCATGATTTCGCCACTACTGCAAGCTTCACGGAGCCTTCCTATTGCTCTGTTGCTCGTGATAGATTAGCCAGTCCTGGCAGAAGGCAGGTTGCAGAGTGTAATCTATCGCAAGCAACGGAGAGATAGGAAGGTTCCACAGAGCTCGCAGCAGCAGCGAAATCGTGAGTGGTCCATCTGGCCCCAGGGGCTGGACCCTCATTATCTGCACCTGTGGGGGGGATATTCGTATATGAATACCCCCATCTCTAATTTTTATGCATTGTTCACTCACTCTCACCTCTTTCCTCACTTCCCTTCTTCTACAATACAGCTTTCTTTTATCTTTGAGATATGGTGTGTGCTCTAATCATATCATATCCCCTGTGGCAAATTTATTGTCCAGTCTGGCCATATAAATGCAGCACAAATCCCTGCATAAATTGCTGAAATACTCAATAGCTGCCATACATGATAACACACATTTACTATGCATGAAGCATTTCTTATTAAAGCTTCACCATAATTTTACACACATACTCTTTACATTAGTGAAAATTCTACTGTATCACACAAGAGTTAGAAGACTACATTTGCTTACGTTCTGAAACTGAATATAGTAGATTTTGTGGTAGTGGAGGAGGTAGTCTTGCTCCCACTGGTGCAAGGCTGGGCACTGTAGTTGTTCCTGGCTGGTCTCGGTTGTTGATCAAACTTGACTGTGATAAAGGAGGTCCTGGAATGAAACAGACAATGCTAAAAGCTCTGTCTAGGTTGCTTCTTCTTTTTTTTTACAACTGCCCCAATATATTTTTTTTTTTTTTTTTTACAACTGCCCCAATATAGGGCCTTTCCCCTTAGAGCTCCCACACCATACATTCTAATCCCTACCAGTCAGTTCATCATCCCTCACTTTTTTTGTTGTTTTATTTGGTTCCCTTATCTTATGCATCACTTGGTGCCAAATGAATTCACCATCTTCTTGCTCTGGACGCATATTTCTCTTTGAATCCCTTGCAGCATCTTCCTGCTGTGTCCCGCACTCAGCTGAAGCTCCTCCTTAGCTCTAAAGAATCTCACTACCTTGGCCCTTATCTCTTTGTTTCGATATACCAATACAACCTTGTGTATGGCATTCAACATTCAGCCTTACCAGTGTGAATTCCTCTGCTGCCTCAAATTACCACACTTTCTTCCTCTTCCTGGCCTTAAGACTTACACTGTCTCTTGAAATACCTGCATGATGTCACATCTTCAAATCATCTCCAAAGCCATCAAAGTCTTTGGCAGAAACTATGGGTTGCTACTCCCCTGTTCCAACATTATCTTCACAACAACTCAAGAGAGTTTAGGTCGTCCATCTATCTGTCTCCCCTTCTAGAGTCAGGTATCCTTGCTGGGCTTGAAAACTGTCATTAATGCCCAGCTGGGCATTACTCTTGACTATTAACAATCTAGGAAATGAAAAACTCTCTGGAGCTATTGTGTGTGTGTATGCGTGTGTGCGCGTAGACTAGAGGGCTGCAGGGAATAATATATTGTTGTGCTGTGAGATAACCAACAGAAGTATGCTTGATATAGGATGATGATTTAACATCTCCCAAGGTTGTTTGTGAACTCCTCATAAAATAAATTACCTGGGACAACAGAATATGGCACCTTTAGTACCCACCATAAGTCATAATTCTTACCTAAAACAAGAGGTATGACCCTCGAACCTTTCTTGGCATAAAAAAGTAAATATTTGAGAAAACTAATAAGTGACCTGCTAGTCAGTTCTACTTCCCAAACAAGGGGCAGGTACAGCCTGAGGGGCAAGGGAGAAAGGGCAGCCCATGGACCCTCATTGGTTGCCTGTCCCTGCTTGAGACATTCCTACTTCATTCAGACACCCCACCTCATTTAAAGTGATTTTACACTTGGGGCAATTCATTTTTATTACTCAAATACAGTATATAGATCTAAATTCCTGTAAAATAACAACATAAAAAAAGAAAGACCTTGCCTGCAATCTTCCCAATTACTGCAGCTGCACAAAATAAACTGCAGTATTTCCAGTACTTTTAAAAAAACCTTACTTGGTATAGGAATTCTGACGGGTGGCGGCGGCCGAGGATGCATTTGCGGGCCAGGCACTCGCATGCTGTGAGTTGGGCCTTGTGTAGGCATCATTAACATTCCAGGAGGAGGAAGTCCTGGAGGTGGTGGTGGAAAAGGAATCATGCTTGGCAAAGATACTTCATCTACAACCAGTGGGTCATTTCCATGATCAAACTGACAGAGGTCACCAAGCACACAAAATCCTCGCTCTGTTAAGAAACAAAGTCATCACATACAACTGACATTTGGAATAACAATAACAATAATAATATTAAAGCTTTTTGTGATTTGCTCAAGTAGCTTTGAAGGATACAAAAAAAGAGAGATTGTCTTTGGCTGCTTAATGTATTTACTAATCAACAGCAAGTCTCAATGTGGGGCAATTTTTTTTGAAGGATGGTACTAATCTCAGGGCTCATCCAAGATTATATGATGGTGTAGTAAGGTGTAATAGTACTCTGTAATCCTGATATAGTGTTTATAGTGTTTCAAGCAAAAACAGGTATCAACATTAATTAACAGGAAAGGAATATCCTTCTGTACAAATGCACAATTACTATACTGTATCTAAAACATAACAGCAAAGAGGGAGAATCAGAACAAAATAACGCAACTGCACCTCCCACAACACTGAATAAAACTTGTAAGGATTTTAGTGAACATTATGATACCTCATATTGTCTAACTAAGATACTAATTTTTGATGCTATTCAAAATATTTAGTATATTTGTGTGTGGAAGTTATGAGTAAACAGGGTTTTCCTTTCATACCAGGGCTGGCATTAGGAGTCAGCATAAGTGGGCACCTGTAGAGATCTATATAAACTAGAGTAACCCACTACTGATGCACAGAGCTTCCTTATTTAACCACTGTCTTTTCTATAATGTTGCAGACTGTTCACCTGTCCTCTCCAAATAAGTAAACAACAGCAAGAAGGAAGAAAAATATTTTGATTTGCCTAGTGCTCCCCTTTGAGTGGTCAAGCAGATTAAGCACATGGCAAAGTGTCAGTCAGCCAACAACTGTTAACAGTTGCAAGGAAATGGGCCCAATGAGTATACATTGCCAAAACAGCCCCACAATATGGAACCAAAATCACCTGTCTGAGTAGAAAACATACAATACCCACCACTGTTCCAGCACCCAATGCATAATGTAATGAAGGACCACATAAATTAATATAGAATCTAAATCTCATCCACACTGTGCATCTTGCATCACCAACAAAACTGGCTGCAAGCAAAGTTCAGAAGAGAAACAGTTTAGAAGGGTAAGCAGAGGCAACACTTACCATCATAATCTCGACAACGCCTTTTTGGTGGAGCATTTCTGCCAAATGTGTTAGGAGCAGAATGATTGCTATAGTAGTTCGACCAGCTTTCTGTTGTGTTTTCAGAATGGTGAGCAGGTGCAATCACAGTCACAGCACTGGGAATACATTGTGCTCCAGAGGAATACTGCTCACTCGAGTTGATGGAAGACAAAGACGCTGGGTTATACGAGCTCTCCATGTCACCCCTTTCACATTTGAATTTGGCTCGTTCTCTGTGCTCTGTTTTTTTTAAAGCAGCAAAATTAGTTAAATTTCTATGTTTTTCCTCAGTGATTAAAAAAATAGAAAATACTCTTTTATAGATAATTTCAGTTACTAGATTCTTTTTCCTCACAGTCTACTGAACCACTATTTCAAGTTATTTTTTAAAGACGATGTAAGATTTTTTTTGAAATGCAACAAACAGCGCTCAACATTTCTTCTCCGATGAAAGAAACTCAGGAGTTTAAAGCAACAACCTCTACCAACACGCAAAGTAACACTAGAAGGTACTGATACAGTAGAATACACTTCAGAACAAATTTTTTAAAAAAACACCTTTTAGTCAGAACCCTCTCCAAAGGATAGCTTTTATCCTGCTTTAATGACATAAGCAGTCAGTTCTTTTCTACAAAATTCCATTTGTTTGATAAATTTGTCAAAAAACTAGGCAACATTTTTATCAGAATAAAAAGCATGCTTTTCCATATATTGGGACAAAATAAGTCCTTTTCTGACCAACTCCTTGACAACTCACCAATATTTCTGTTTGCGTCCCTGTCTTTGTTCGCATCCTGGTCTTTGCTTCTGCCCCTGCTGCGGCTACGACTCCGGCTCAGACCTCTACTTTTACTGCGGCTCTTACTTCTTCCTCTTCGCCAGTCATATTTGTCTCTGTATAAGTCGTTCCTTTCGTAGTATCTATCATAGTCCCTCCATTTACCATCATCTCTTTTTCGTTCTCTATTTCTATAAAGGCATACCACATAGACTTGAATGGCTAGCTGACAACAAAGAACTTAAATGGCTTACTGCATCAAGATACAATTATTGGATTTTTACAATATGCAATTTGTGTGAAGTTCTAGGCATTTTTTCCCATAGCAAATATTCTCAGGCTAACATAGCAAGAACTAAAAAAGACCTGGAAGTGGACAGTATTTATAGTCAACAGTAATCACTCCATTAGTTTTTTGTACTAGAGACAGCAATATTAAGTGAAAACCAAAAATCATTTGTACAGTGGTGCCTCGCTTAACGGGCGCCCCGTTTAACGACAAATCTGCATAGCGATGAAGATCCTGGGATCGCTTTTGCGATCCCATTGCGATGTTCCCTATGGGGAAAAATCCCTTTGCGATGATGGCTTCCCCCCCCCCCATCATCGCAAACGCCCCATTTTCGCACAGCTGATCGGCGGGACACGCAATCTTCGCAAAGGCCCACCGATCAGCTGTGCAAAAGCAGGGCGTTTGCGATGAGGGGGCGAAGTATCATTGCAAACGCCCCGTTTTCGCACAGCTGATCGGCGGGGTGCGCCGAGGAATCCGTCCCAGAAAAGAGCCGGGAGCCATCTTCTCCTCTCCAGCCCCTCCCCCCCTACCTCACAGCTGATTGGTGCTGGTCTTAGAAGCTTCCTCAGGCTTGCCCAGCAGGTAAACAGGCAGTGGAAATGCACTGGGGAAGCCTCTGAAACCTGCGCTTTGCCGGGGTGGGTGTGGGTGTGGCAGGGGCAGGCCCGCCACCCTCCTACCACCCCTCAGCGCCCCCCCCACAGCAAAGCAGGGCTTTCAGAGGTGCATTTTCACTGCTGAAAAAGCCCCAGGAGGTTTCTGAAAGCAGCGCGAGGGGGTCTCTGGGGTGGAAGGCCTGCCCCTGCCACACCCCACACCCCGGCAAAGTGCAGGTTTCAGAGGCTTCCCCAGTGCATTTCTACTGCCTGTTTACCTGCGGGGCAAGCCTGAGGAAGCTTCTAAGACCAGCGCCGATCAGCTGTGAGGCGGGGAGGGGGAGGGGCTGAAGCAGAGAAGATGGCAAAATGGCCGCCCACTGTGTTTTCGCCTGGATTCCTCGTTTACCGGGCAGCGAAAATGGTGGCCGTATGGAGGATTTTCGCATAAAGGTGAGTTTTTTGCCCCTAGGAACGTATTAAACGGGTTTTAATGCATTCCTATGGGCTTTTTTATTTCGCATAGCGACGAATCCGTATAGCGACGATTTTGGCTGCACGGCTTATCGTCGCTATGCAGCGCACCACTGTATTAGAGGGCTGAAAAAGGTATTTATCTCATAGTGCAACAGCATACATCCCAGCCACAGGACACAAAATACAATCCTCTACAACATAATCACTCTTAATAAATAATGTTATCTGTTGGAAGACATTTTGGCTGTAACCTCAAAGAAGGGGGAACACACATGCAATAGCTAACCCCCCCCCCACTAACCTTTGTTCACTAGGATCTGAACGATTTTTCTGCGGGCTAGTATATTTCTTCTTTTTGCTCTCTCTCTCTTCTTCAAAAGATTCCTGAAATGTCCAAGGAAGAACAGCAAACCATTACCACAGGTTAATCCCAGCCCAAAGGAAAATCATAGGAAATAATCTATGATCAAGAAAATATCTCATTTTTACAGCATCTAATAGCACTTCCAACGTCAGCTTCAGATCCTAGAAGGATGAGGTTAACTTAAGTGTCATAAATATAGCAGAGTAATGAACAAAACAGAAGTACTTTAATTTCATGGCAAAACATTTCAGTCTCTGCTTTCTTCAGACACTCTCAATAAATTAATCAATAAAATAATAACAATTAAAAACACCTTTACTGAGAACAAGTGGGAAAAAATAGGTCCTGTTATGATATACCCTCGGCCTAACGCTGAGGGAGGCCTGGAGAGAAAGAACAGAAATCGGGCCTTCTCGGCAGTGGCCCCTCGCCTTTGGAACAATCTCCCTTCAGAGATCTGCCTGGCTCCCCTGCTGGTGTTTTTAAGACCAAACTTAAGACCTGGCTCTTTAGGCAGGCTTTCCCTCCTGTCATCACTTGAGGTTTTTTTCTTTTGCCACATTATTATTGTTGGTTTTTACTTTATCATATTGTTTTTATTCCATTTTTTATTGTTAGCTACCCAGAGTAGGCTTCAGTCTAGATGGGTGGTGTGTGTGTGTGTGTACGCGCACACCCACACCGACATACACAAAAATATTTGTTTTTTAATTCCTCTGTGTGTGTGTGTGTGTGCGCACGCGCACACCCACACACACAAAAATATTTCTGTTTTTTAATTCCTCCAGTACATCTGCTATTTTTCAAGATAAGGCAGGCAAGTGTGGCCCTCCAAATGTCTTCGGACAGCAACTTCAACAAGCTCTCATCACTGGCCATGCTACTCAGAGGTGTCAGGAACTGTGGGTCAAAAGCATCTGGAGAACTATGGTTACTCCCTCCTCCCTTCCCTCAGGTGTTCTTGAGAGCCGATATTGGAGGATCCCTTACTTGAAGAGACAATGCCCTTGTGACATAGAATCAACAGAGCACGTGCTCCTTCAATGTTCGTTTTATAGAGATAGTCAAACTAATTTCATCTTACCAACAGTCCATAAATATCTGGGATGCTCAGGTCAATTTTATACCTCCTTGCTGCTGTCGGATACTAATTCTGTTACAACATATGACGTTGCTAGGTTCTGTGCGGCTACGATTAAAATTCGCAGGGTGATGACAGGCATCACAGACTAATATTTATATTTAATGTTATGCCTTTTAATGCTTGATTAATGCCATTATATGTGTGTGTGTATACTTATAATTACTTGGAACTATTTTATGACTGTACTTTTTACTTATAGATACACCAACCTCTAAGTGTCACAATACTTATTTAATCCTTTAGAATCCTTTTCTTTTTACTCACTGCCCCCTGGATTTCTATATTCTGGTTATATTAGAATGAATGTGAGGTTACTTTTTAAATTTTAGATGTCCAATTTTGAGTTATGGTTTAATTTGAGTCTGTGATAGGCATATCAATTGACTGTACCCCATCTTCCTTAAGATGGTCAATGATCGTAATAAAGACTTGTTCAGTTTTATAGTTATTCACTCCAGGTTTAAAGCAAAGTATTTTTATTTCAAAACTGCCACATTAGGATTGCATGTATAACTATAGAAAGCTATATAATTGTGAGGAACTGTTTCAGTACTGTTTCATCATACCTTGGCCAAAATCCTGTTGTGAAGATAGGCAAATGACATGAATTGGCATTCATTAAGAAATTTCCATATGCATTATCTGTGCAACAGGATTTCACCCATAGTGTTAAATAGGATGGGCTATTGCTCGAACTCTGAGGACCACAAAAGAGATGCACCAGGAACTGGGGGTCACAATAAATCTGTACACTTCATGTTACAATTTCCTCCCACATTTACTTTGCTAAGATAGAGGAGCACATGTGGGTCTCTCAATACAGATATTGATTAGTCTCACACTGGCTTGGTTTCATATATGCACCTGTATCATATAGCTTCAGTTAATGATATACCTGAACTGCACCTTCCTGGTACTGCTACTATTCCTGAGGACACAGCAGTTCCCCTCAAATATGAAAAATATAAGTCAGCACTGAAACTTTTGAAAAAGAACTCAGAAATCAAATCAAACTGGGTGTTTCTTTCACTGGCATCTCTGTTTACCATCAGCTAGCTTTTTGCTCTCAAATGTTAAATCTCCACTACAAATGCAAACATAGGGACCAATCTTATTCATTCATTCATTCATTAGATTTACATACCACCCATCTAGAATGTTTCTACTCTGGACGGTTTACATATAACATAAAAATAAACTAAGATAAAATCCAGATTAATCACAGAGTTCAAGATGGGAAAGGAAGAAAAAAAAAAAGAGAGAGAAAGAAAGAAAGAAAGAAAGGGGGAGATACGCTAGGTAATGTCTGTAGGGAAGGCCTGCCTGTATAGCCATGTCTTCAAGTTAGTCTTGAAGGCCCTCAGTGAGGGAGCCAGGCGGATCTCTGCAGGTAAGCTGTTCCAGAGGCAAGGGGCCACTGACAAAAAGGCCCGGTTTCTAGTTTTTCCCCACCGGGCCTCTCTTGCCGTTAGGCCCCTCAACTGCCCGGCCTGACTGGAGCAGGTGATATGGGTAGAACCGGGCGGAAGAAGGTACTCTGCCAGGTATCGAGGGCCTAAACCATGAAGGGCTTTGTATGTAATGGTTAGCACCTTGAAATCAATGTGGAAACAGATAGGTAATCAGTGTAACGTTGCCAAGGTGGGGGAAATACTGTATGGTGAAATCTTTTCATCCCAACTGAGATTCGTCTGGTGCTGACGCTGATGACATTTCAGTGCCAGGTCAAAACCATCCTGTTCCAGAAGGCTTTTAATTGAAATAATATCAGCTGTGGGGCCTGATGGCAATTTTTAGAGTATATATTTTAATTGCTTTGGTGAGCGCCTCCGCGTCTAGATAGCTGGGTGATCTGCCGAAGATGTACTGTAAATGGCAGACTGAACCACGGACACTACCTGGGTCTCCATAATAAGCGCCGGGTCCAGATGGACTCCCAGACTGCAAACTGAATTCTTTGTGGTGAGAATCACCCTCCCCCCAAAAGAGGAAGTTCACCCAACTAATGACATCAGGGCCACCCACCCGCAACCTCTGTCTTGTCCAAGTTCAATCTTAGTCCATTCGACTGCATCCATTGCAGAACAGGCTCCAGGCAGTGCCCAAGGGATGGAATGGCATCCACTGCAGATGGAAAAAAGGAGGTGTAGAGCTGGGTGTCAGCAGCATATTGGTGACACGAAGCTCCACATTCCCGGATGACCCCCCTCTGTGGCCTCATATAGATGTTGAACAGAATTGGGGAGATGCTTGAACCCTGCGGTAGTCCACAACTGAGGGACCACGGGACCGATACATTCTCCCCAAGCTGAACTCTCTGGAGACAGCCCTCCAAGAAGGACCAGAGCCAACGAGAGCAAGGCCAGCAATCCTTAACTCGGAGATCCTCCCCAGGAGGATACCGTGGATGATGGTATCAAAGGCGGCTGAGATATCAAGGAGGGCGAGCAAGGACATTTTGCCCTTGTTGGCCTCCCTAAGTAGGTCATCCATTGGCGACCAATGCCATTTCCATGCCATGGCGCGGCCTGAAGCCCGACTGAAACGGATCCAGAGCATTGGTTTCATCCAAGAGAGCCTGAGCCTAAAAGTCTTCTGTTTGGGAAGAACCGTATGTGACCATCAATTCCATGCACTGTTTCTCTGTTTCCTTCATTTGTGTGCAAGGGGGAATGCACTAACCCCTTGCCCAACTAGAAAGTCCTCTTCAAGGCAATGGGGCAATCTGAATCTTACATAACCGCAAGCTAGAGATCGAAAGATGAAAAAGGTGAAGTGCTTTAGTAATAGAACTCAGTCAGGTGTAACTATTTTATGTTACTGCATTTCTTACAATGGACTACTTGTATTTATTTAAATCAAGGCTAACATTTTATCTTGAAGCTATACCAAACAAAACTGCCTATAGCAGACATACTCCTTCAGTTTTTAAATTAAGATTTTACATCAAAGTAATCAAGAGCTATTTGGAGGTTTAAAATTTTCATAAGCAGAAGAGTGAATAGTCACTAAAAGCAGTCTGCACCAAACATACATTGAAAGTTGTAATCTCAAAGCCATTAACTTTTGTTACATAATGCACTTCGTACTGCCCTGAAATTTCTGTGGAGGACAGAGAGAATATAATTAAATAAAATAACCTTTTCAGACAAAGGCCAGAAGTCTGGTCTAAACACACTAAAATAGTAAAGGTAAAGGTTCCCCTTGACATTTAGTCCAATTGTGCCCAACTCTAGGGCATGGTGCTCATCCCCGTCTCTAAGCCGTAGAGCTAGCTTTTGTCCACAGTCAGACTAGACACAGAACACCGTTACCTTCCCACTGTGGTGGTTGGTAACTACTGATCTACTTGCATTTACATGCTTTCGAACAGCTAGGTTGGCAGGAGCTGTGACAAGCAACGGGAGCTCACTCCGTTGCGTGGATTCAATCTTATGACTGCCGGTCTTCTGACCTTGCAGCACAGAGGCTTCTGCGGCTTAACCCGCAGTGCCACCACATCCCTAAACAAACTAAAATACCTATCAATTAATCATCTGAAAGCAAAGAAGAGAACTAGGAACTAGACACGAAAATCACTTCTAATATTACATGATTTACATGCATACGAAAGGGCTGGAGTAGGGCTGTCAGGTGCAAGGATATCATCTCTCATTTGACCTTATCTAAATATAACAAAATTCTTTAATCTAATATGCTGTTCACTGAAATAAGGCCAGCCTGTCTGACTCAAGATAATCCTATGCTTAGGGAACTCTGGTTCATCTATGCCACAACATTTTTTCTTAAACAGGCACCTACAGTACTACATATTGTATGGTTTTAGCATCATTGTATACTGATTCAAGCAATCAGAATAAGAACTAAATGAGAACATGGTTGAGATTCTGCAAGATTTCTTTTCCACCACTGCAAAACTAAAAAGAGTTTTAAAAATGGAAAATAAGGAAGTACAGCAGAAAAAGATTATATCTTCTAACTGGAAAGGTCCAACAATAGGAAATTCAAGATGTCATCTGCCACTGTGATACACTGAACAGTTTGAAATCACCTTGGTTTCTACTGCATACAGTATAAATTTTGTATACCTTATTTTTTCCAAACACCAGAATACCCATTGATCACTATTACTTTAATTTGCCCATATTCATTCTCTGGCTGGAGACAGACTGGACAGGTACCAAGGCTGAAGAGTCAGTACTGAATGAGAAAGGCAGACTGAGTATCTTCAGATAATATGAAGATACAAGCTACCCAGAAGCAAAGGCTGTAGCTTTAGGCAGCTTTATCTATCAGGTGAGGTTTTCAAGCCTGCCTAAATCTGCTATAGTAAAAAGGATTAAAAGATAGAACAAGAAGAAACACAGTAAGAATGCCTCGCCATGCTTTCTAACATACTTCAATTTTGTAGTCAGACTGGCCCATAGTACAGCAATTTTATTGGCAAAATTAACAACAGAAGTTGTGAGGTAGGGGTCAACCAGTTGTCAAAGGTGACTGCACTCTTCCTAAAATATTAGGCTCATGGTTTAGTGGGGCTTGTTAATTCATCTTTATCAAGTGATGCAAAGGTACCTCTCTGTTATCATGCACTTTCCACTACCGCATGCTGTAATAGATAATCCTATAATTCTACTTGGATACAAACAGACTGCTTTTAAGTTGTCTCTGGCAACCTCCAATTTGGACTACTGCAATGTGTCATATCTGGGCCTAATTTTGGCAATGGTTCAAAATAATGTGTTCATAACATGGTTCCTGGTTTGCTAGTTAGGATTGTACAACTATATCATATTTATGGGTTCCGATTCTACTTCCAGATCCAATTTAAAATGCTCCTCTTGATTTTCAAAGTCACTGGTGGCTTGGGGCCAAGGTAGCTGAAGGATTGCTTCTTTCCATGAATAATTGTTGAATCCTCTTCTTTGGATACTCTGCTGAGATCAGGTGTGGTGGATGACAATTATTGGTGACATCCCAGTTCTAGAATGCCCTTCAAACCCTTGTTACTTTTTGGTGCTAGGTAAAGATCTTATTTTCAAAAATTCTAAACACTTCATCTTAATCCTCTCTTATTGATTTCTCTGTGTTTCAGGCTGTTGTTTTCAGTAATTTTTTTATATCACTACTAGTGACTTTTCTACTTTATAATCTTTTATGTTAAAAACTGCCCAGAGAGTATTTCGATGTTAGGTTGGGATTTATTCCATCCTAAGTACAACTGCATAAAAGCAGCAGCCAATAGCTGCTAATTAACAAGTATATGCTCAAATTCATGATTACATGCCAAATTTGAAATTGAGCAACTTGACATTTGACCAGCAAAGCAAACAGCATGTTTTTTACTTAGCAACAATTCAATGCTGCAGTTTACACAGTTACACTTAAGTTGGCATATATCCCTACAGCATGCTAGATATTATAGTGTGGTTTACAAATGCTGTAAATAAATGAAAAAGGATAAATAGCCAAAGTCTCTCTTCCTCCTGCAAACCATTTCTACTATAGAAGTACCCCAGGACGTTTTCACCTTGGTAGCTGCCATGCATAGTTCCTTTAAAAGGATAGGCATAGAAGGAGTTGGTAAATGTACAGGAATTTGTAGATAGTATTTTCACTATATTTTATGGGCAGCCAACACCTCTATTTCTCCTAAAAGCTGAAGAAAAACCCAGCAAATATATATACCATAAAAGTAGTAAAGCTAAATTAAGCATGTAATCCCACCTCATTTCCAGCTAATTATGTCTCGCTAAACACAATAGGGAATATTTTCAAGTAGGCATTTACAAGATTGCATTGCAGAGCTGCAAGTCTATGCATGCCCACACAAGTCCATACTTTAGTTTATACAGTGACACTTGATCTGAATAAATATACATAGGATTGCACTGTGTTAGAATCAAGAGGAATAGAAAAAGTTAACATTACCTCTTCTTTGATTTCTTCTTTCCCCTGACCTGCAGGCTTTGACTCCGGTTTTGCTGGTTCACTGGGAGCCAAATAATCCTTGGTGTACAGACTCTCAAAGAGTTTATCAACAAAACCTGAAGTTTCTGGCAAAGACATAAAGGAAAAAAGAAATTCATAGTAGATACTATTCTTTCATCCAAGGTAATTTGATCTGTTTGCCTGGAAAGAGCTTTGGGTTATTTTTTTCAGAAGCAGAAGTTCCCCTATACGATACTACTAAATATTTTGAAATTGTGGGGTGTTGGCCAACAGAGCTGATGTTCTCTTGGTCAGCAAACAAATCAAGTTAGCTGGTGTAGGGAGATGTCAGTGACTAGTAAATAATCTTACTTGGCAGCTATGATCAAGTAGGATGCCAGGCTATGATATCTATTTCTATTTTCTAAATGGTGACATAACACAGATGATTGCTAATTGAAAGAAAATAAATATACTGTACAACATTTTACATTGTAAAATATGTATGCCTCAAATTGCTCTTTGGATCACATCCATATGTTCTCCAAAATGCATAAAGTATTTACTAGATAATTATTGTGTGTGTAGAAAATGATGACGTAAATGTACTTTTCAACCACTATACAGTAACCTCAATGCATTAGTACTGCACAGGATTGTGGCATTACTTTAAACTCATATGTGCCATCATGACATTTGGGATTTTTCTCAACTGCAAATCACAATATTCTCCAAAATGTTCAACGGCAGCCTGTTTTCTGTCCGGCAAGATTATTACTTTTAATTCATAGCTAACGTATATGCAGTAATAGTATAAAGATTAACCAGTTTAGACCACAAAGAGCAAGTTGTGGTGCTGGCCAATATCTTACAGAGCTTCTAGAATATAATATTTCCATCAATATTGTAATGCTGGATTGTGTTATTTGCACAATTATTGCCACTGGACAAATAGTGAACTCCAAGAAGAAAATCCACCCCCGACCTGTATAATGGCAAGGCTTTCAAAAGCAGCATATCCCAACATTTTTAGGCTACTGGGGCTTCTGCTCAGCAGAAGCTCAATAGAAAGACTTTTGTTGAAAGCTCTTTGTTTATATAAATGATTATGGAAACTCTGATGCTAAGTTGAAGATTATTTTGTATACTAATTGAGTTTAGAAGTCAAAATTATGATTAAAAAAACACCCTGATCTATTATACTGTGATCTGTGCAGCTAATTTTCTCTAAGATTAAAATATAGTTGATCTGCAAAAGGGACTAAGCATTTATACATCTGAGTGTTACAACTCAGCTGTACAATTTACCTCTGAAACCTAAAAGAGCAGACCATCCTTGATGAGGATTGTAGGAGCTGTTAATCCCACCCATGTGAAATATACCACATTGGGATTATAACAAAGGATTTCATCTCCATGTTAATAAAACAGTACCATTAACTATTACAAATACACACAATACCTTTTTGTAGAAATACATCTAGCTGATCAGCACAGAATGCTTTCAGTTCCTTCTCTGGTTTGTCTTTTTTCACCAATGCCACAACATAGTTAGCCAAGGCTGATGGATCAGCATCACATCTGAGGGAAAATGACTTTTATGAGTATGCACAGTTTATAAATCTAATATAAACTGAATATCTACAATAACATCAGTTCCAGGAAGGGCATGGTACTAAACATGAATGCTCCCTATTCCTAAACATTTCCTAAATATTTTATATGTTGCAGTATTATACCAGACTGATTTCACTGGCATAGATTTTCAATGCTTAATGTTATGGGATTAAAAGAAATCCTTTAATTTAAATGACACTGAGTACTCTGTCATTCAAAAACAAGTAAAATTTTGCCCACAATCAGATACTACTTTCTAAACAACAGACCAAAGCATCAACCAAACCAAACTTTATTTTCATATATTTTTTTATAAACCAAACTTTATTTTTCATATACCTCCTTGCATCAAGAGTCCTAGAAACCATAATCTAAAGTCACCATGCCCACAATCCTAACTGGCCAAGAGAATTGAGTTCACAATACTTGGACTGAAATGGTATTGATTCCAAACCACTCAATCTGGGAATTCCTTAGGAATACTCTTGTCCTAGCCTGCATGCTAGCAATAGCATATAGTGGCTGTGAGGTGGGAGAGACTTGGATGTGGCATAACTCAGCTTCTCCATCATTCCGTCCATTTATGTATACAGAAGTATATTGGTTTATGAAATTAATCCGTCATCTGGGACGTTAAGTAATACAGACATCATGTACAGTGGGTCTTGACTTGAGAACTTAATCCGTATTGGAAGGCTGTTCTCAAGTCAAAAAGTTCTCAAGTCAAATCTGCATTTACCATAGGAATGCATTGAAAACCATTTGATCTGTATCTGCTCTTTTCCGTCCATAGAAACTAATGGGAAGCTGCTATTCCACCTTCGACCACTAGAGGGGGATATTTCGTTTCTTTTTTTTTCTTAGGTCAAGAAAGGTTCAGGGAAGGCAGGGAAAATACAGTCCAGACAGTACAGTACCAGGCAGTCCGAAGACTGTCTCCCAATCCACTCTCTAAACACTTGGAGGAGTGAGGAAGCAGACAGGCACCCTTTTCACTGGCCAACAGTTAACTGAAAGTTCAAATTTTGAACTTTCCCTGCCTCCCACGTGGTTTGGGAGAGACTTGGATGTGGCATAACTCAGGTTCTCCATCATTCCGTCCAGTTATGTATATAGTAGTATACTGGTTTACGAAATTAATTCGTCATCTGGGACGTTACGTAATATTATGTAAACCGAAACGTGGGCTGCTGTAGCAATGGGGGCGCCACTAGAAACCTCCAGGTGCGATGCATCCTTTTCAGACAGGCACCCTTTTCACTGGCCAACAGTTAACTGAAAGTTCAAATTTTGAACTTTCCCTGCCTCCCACGTGGTTTTTTTCAGTTCTTAACTCAAATCTAAGTACTTCAGTCAAGTCAATATTTTCCTATGAGAGCGGTTCTTAAGTCAAAATGTTCTTAACTCAAGCCGTTCTTAAGTCAAGACCCCACTGTAAACCGGAACGTGGGCTGCTGTAGCAATGGAGGCGGCACTAGAAACCTCCAGGTACGATGCCTCCTTTTTGTACAGTGAAAAATGTAAACCGAGGCATTATTTCTTAGGGATTTCAGCTCATAAACTGAAAATTACGTAAACCGAGGCACACGTAAACCGAGGTACTACTGTATGTCTTGGTTCCTAAGGCATCCTTAAAACTGCCTCAATACAATGACAGGAAAAGCCACAACTAGGAGAATTCTCTTGTCACAATCTAGATATCTGACCTAGCAAACCTATGTCCCCAATCGGCTCACTGCTCTCCCTCCATCCTTCATTACAGTGGTGCCTCGCTTAGTGATTGCCTCGTTTAATGATGTATTCGCTTAGCGATGAGGCTTTTGGAGCAATTTTGCGCTCCGTTTAGCAAAGTTTCCAATGGGGAAATTTCGCATAGCGATGTTCGGGACCTTGCTTTGCTTAGCGATGACAGTTTAGGTCCCCCTGTTTCGCTTAGCAATGTCCGTTTTCGCTAAATTAAGTGTGTCTTAAAATGTTCAAAAACTGTTTTAAATGCTTGGAAACGTTAGTGCACCTTGTAAAATCTTTGCAAACTTAATTTGGCTTTGTTCTGACTCTTCGTCAATTTTTGGTGAATTCCCCCCCCCCCATTGGCTTCCCTTGACTTGCCTGTAGGTTTGACAGCTGTCAAATAGTTTTTGAACATTTTAAGACACTTTAAAAATAGCGAAAACGGACCTGTCAAAACCATTGAAATGCATTGAATAGGCTTCAATGCATTCCAGTGGGGGAAACATTGTTTCGCTTCGCGATGTTTCCTATGGCAATTTTCGCTTAAGGATGGTAATCCATTCCCATTGGAACGGATTATCCGCTTTTCAATGCATTCCTATGGGAAATGGTGTTTCGCTTAGCGATGTTTTCCCATACCGATGTTTTTTTGGGAACCAATTAACATCATTAAGCAAGGCACCACTGTATTTCCATTTACATGTGTTCTTATGTCTGAGGACACCCAAAACAGTGTACATGATCAAAGAGCTGTGAAAATACCATCTGCTTTGCTTCCATCCAAAGTATTTGTATGACATGTTGCAACCAATTTGCTTCAAGCCGATTTGTAGCTTGTTCAATTCTATTGGTATTCAAAGCTTCTAAAGTTTTTGTATGTAGATGCATTTATCTCAAGAGTGAAGAACCTGAACATGGAGGAAATAAAGGGCTCTGACCTCGAATGAGGAGTGTCATCAACTATTGCTCAACCATCCATGCACAAGCAGAGCTGCCATCAGTTTCTTTCTTTACTTACTCCCTCCCTCCCTGCACTTCCCCCCCAAAATCAGGAACTGTGCAATCTACTCTTTGCCCAACTTCCACCCTTCAATGAATTCATCCTGCATTAGTTGTGCATACAGTGGTGCCTCGCATTACGATGTTAATTAGTTCCAGCGAAATCGCTGTAGAACGAAAATGTCATAAAGCGATTTTTAAAAGCCCATAGAAATGCAATAAAACCCGGTTAATGCGTTCCTATGGGCTGGAAACTCACCGTCCAGCGTAGATCCTCCATAGCGCAGCCATTTTCACTGCCTGTGCAGCGAGGAATCCGTTCCAGAAAACCCCCGGCGGCCATTTTGAAACCGTCGATCAGCTGTTAAAAAATCATCGCGTTGCGAGAATCGGTTCTCGAAGCAGGGAACCGACCATCGCAAAGCGAAATTCCCCCATAGGGAACATCGTTTTGCAATCGCTTCCGCGATCGCAAAAACATCGACGTCAAGTGGTTTTGTCGTTAAACGGAGTGCCCGTCTTGCGGGGCACCACTGTAGTTGGCAATCTGTCAGTCACACCTAAATTCTCTGAAATAAAAGTTGCTGTGCTTAATTTTTAACTTCAGAAGCATCAAAGCAAAATTTGACACTTCAGAGTGCCACAACTGGATTCAAATACTACTTCAAGCTTCTTTCCTTTGCCTCAGATTGGTTTGGAAATGGACAGATACACCTGCTTTGTTTTGTTTTTCCGAATACATTCTGAATCAAAGAAACATATTGATTTAAAACAATGAAGTATATTAAAATATACTACAAATATAACAATTTAAATAGCCAAAATATATCACCATGAAGCTCTGAAAACTGCTGATTTTTCCGGTTGTTCTAGTCTGCAGTGTCTCTCATGTTCTTTGATTCTGATGTGAATGCTGCGTTTAGTGGTTCTTATATATATATTCAGCAGTAGCTGAACATGTCCTAAAACAAGCTGGACATGAAATTCTGTTTCAAAATACTGAAGTACTGGACAACACCAGCAATCATTAGACTGCACAGGGAAGCCATTGAAATACATAAACATAAACAGAACTTCAACAAAAGGAAGAAGGTCTAAAACTAAACAAGGCCTGGCTTCCAATACTGAATAATACAGCCTGCAAAAGGTCAACGAACTCTATCCAGCCACAAGGACCAGGGATCATTGCACAAAAAAGACCAGCTAACGACATCCATCAATCACAGTGACAGATAATCTCTCCGCCTTATCACAACAAAAAACACGCTGATCACCCTATCTCCTGAAAAAGGACAACACCCTATCTCCTGAAAAAGGACAAAAGCTGTTCCCACAGCTATAAATACTCAACTATCCAAGAAACAGCAACACAACATGGACAGAGTTCCTACTCCAGTCCAGCCTACTGCCAGCCAAAGAGCCTGAAAAACCCACAACAACCCTCAGATCCCGGCCGTGAAAGCCTTCCAGAATACAAGAAAAATTAATTACATTTTTCTGTATAAACAATGCTTTTAAAAAAACCCTCCATCCTAACATTCCTTGTTATTTTTACATGCTGTCAAGTTGCTTCCAGCTTATGGTTACCCTATGAATTATGGTGACCAAAGCCTTCCTGGCCTCTTCAGGTCTTGCAAACTCAATGCCCTGACTTACTTTACTGAGTCAGTCAATTTTCAGGTTAGGTCTTTTACTACTGCCTTTTACTTTTCCCAGTATTACTGAATTTTCCAGGGAGACTTGTCATCTCATGATGCATCCAAAGTATGGTACTTAATGGACTTTAATTTCTACCAAGAAGTCAGGTTTGATTTGATATGGAACTTACTTATTTAACCTTCTAACAGTCCATGGGATCCATAAAGCTCTCTTCAAAAAAATCACAATTTGAATTCATCTTTTCCTCTCATTAGCTTCTTTCACTAACCAACTTTCTAATTTGTGCATAGGAATCAAGACTATCACAGTATTGGAGATCTTGGACTTCAGCAACAAATCAGCGATTGATCTTTTCTAGTTCCTTCACATATCCTCTAAGTCTCAGTCTTTTTCTTTTGTATTTAACCACTTTGACTGATGATTTTAAAAAGTATAGAAAATATATAACAATTTGAATTCTTCATCAATATTCAAGTTATGAAATTCTTGTAGTAACATTTTTTCTTCTTTTAATGTTTACCTGTAATCCTGCTTTTCCACTTTCACCATTAGCATTCATTTCAAGTCACTGCTGC